TTGAAAACCCACTATTGGGTCAGCTATGAGTCAGTCCTCCAGCTTGGTGACAATGGAGGAGGTGATTTAAATTAGATTTTCATTAGGATGTTTTTAGTTAATTTTCTTTATTTAAGGAACTCCAGGAGAATAATGAATATTGCCAGATAGTATTTCATACCTGTTGGCATATGTTAATTACAGTATTATAGTTACTAAAGAAATTATCTCATTGATGCTAAAAGTAATCTTTGTTTTCATGCCACTGGAAATTTGCCAGTTTCAGGAGAAGCCTATGAAAATGAAGCTCTGGTTTAGAAATAAATATATCATTTTGCATGCAGTTGTTTCTGAAAAATTGTACAAAGTTATATTTAAATGAACTAACATGATTTGTTTTAGAGCCCTATTTAATACTCAGTAAATCAGAGACTTAGTCACCTTCCTAGTTTTGCACTATGATTGGATCAACTCCATAAATGTTGTTTTTCATCTCCCTCGTAGTAGAAGGCCAAATTGATAAGATTTTATTATTCTGCCTACTTATAGTTAATTCATGAGTTATAGAACTTTGTTTTATTCTCTGTCCAGTGCCTGAAACAGTGTCTGGTATATGCTAGGACCTCAGTAGGTATTTGTAATAATTCCTTTTTATTTAATGATTCACTGTAAGGAGAAGACCAGTTGCCATTAGGTTAATTCTAACTCCTGGTGACCCCAGTGTGTCAGTAGAACTGTGCTCCATAGTGGTTTTCAGGAGTTGTTGCCAGGCCTTTCTTGTGAAGTACCTCTGAGTAGACTCAAAACAGCTAATCTTTCTGTTAGTAGCCTTTTGTACTACCTAGAGATTCATAGGGAACGATAGTAAAAAGAAATTTAGTGTTCTTATACTTGTTGACAATCTAGTCACTCGTTTTGGAAGCTAATTTATTCCTTGCTTCTGTAGAGAAGTATATATATCCTGTGTTTCTGAAGTGTGACTGATTAACAGTTTAAGGGTTTTTTTATTTTTTTTATTAGCCACTGATAGATGTAGATGCTATCGGGTTAGCTCCCAGCTCATAAGCTGATGCACATGAACTCAAGCATTATGAAATGTTGCAATCCCTAGAGGTTTTATTGGCTAATTTTTCAGAAATAGATTGCCAGGGTTTTCTTCCTAATTTGCTTAGTACCTTTAATTTGCATAGTACCTTTGTGCCATATCAGAACAACATACAAACGTCTACTGACAGATGTTGGCTGTGGTTGAGGTGCAGTTATCTGCAGTCAGACCTAGTTCTCTCATTTAGAAAGCAAGGATTCTACCGTTGAATCACCTCTACCCTACCAGATTATTATTTTTGTCCTTTAGTACTCTGTTGCTCAATCATTCTGTTCATAGAATTTGCCACTTTAAAAACACTGTCCCCTTCAAGTGGGGAGGAGCAGAAAAGGTATTTTTTTACAAGCCAGTTTTGTAGGCTGATGGGTCTTTCCTGACTTAAAATCAAAACTGATTTGTGAAGAGCTGTTCTTAGAAATGAGGTGACTATAGGTGGTTAGTGTGTTTCTGATTCGACTGTCTAACTTGTATTACCATCATACTTTATAGTGACAGCTACATATATATGTGAACATTTGGACACTTTCGTTGTTGTAGAAAGAAAACTTTTTAAAATATAGAAATTGAAATTTCAAAGTTTTGATGTAGAAACCTTGGATATGGTTATTTTTTGGTTTGTGGTGTGATTTTTTTTTCACGTGAATTCATTACTGTTGGAACAGTTTAGAGTTAGCATGGATTTTCTTCTTTCCCTTTCCACCTTGGCCACCAGCTATATTATCCACATATCTTAAGCTGAAGAGGAAATTTTATTTAAAGAGAGTACTTAATATTCTAATTTAATCTTTTGGTGTGGAAAAAATAAATTTCTCATCATTTAGTGGGTTCTAAAATAATATTCCATTAAAAAGTAGGGAAAGAATTGGGAAACATGAATTTAAGTTAATTTTATTTTAAAAGGAAGTTGGATTTTCTAAAAAATATATACAAACAAAAAAATATATATACAGACATTCATCACTATAAATTATTTTTCAAGTGTCTTAAGAGTCATTTTTTAATAATAGGATTTACCACGAATAGATGAATAAATGGAATGGAGTTTATTTAGGCAACATCCTCTTCCTGTATGCCTTGGTTAGTGTTTTTTCCACAGTGTATTTTTTTCCCCTTGTTCTGGAAACTTTTTAAATTATAGAAAAAATTACTACTTGGTCTGAGCAGTAATGTCACCTTGAGAGTACTTTGAAAGCCAGGCTGTTTATTTACTGTGACTTAATTTTGAGTGGACTAGTTGTAAATGTGGCAGCCTTTTTGATGCTGTTTTCTCTGGGCTTCCTGATCTCCTTCAAAGATTGGCTTTGTTGTGTGTGTGTGGGGGAAAGCTGTTGGCAGGCCTGGAAAGACAGTTAAAAGGAAAAAAGTTCTAAGGTACCACTTAAGAGTTAAGGTTATTTTTCAGGCCACTTTCTTGTTATATTTTTTTTGAAGAGTTCTTGAGGATTCCACCCACCCTACTTGTATCATCCTCCTGCAGTTCTTTTAATGAAGCAAATGACTTGATCAGTGTCCAGTTGATCTGATTGGGTCTCTAACGTGCTTTCTTTACGGAAATGTCTCACTTTGGGTCCCAATACTGATATACCAGTTTGAGAGATTGGAAGCTCAGGCTAATTCTCTCACTTTTAAATTATCACCTTCTCTCTCACTTTCTCTCTCTGCGTTATAGAGGAGGAAGAGGCTCATGTTCTGGAGTAGCAGTACAAAAATCTCACACCCTGGCCCTCCTAGTATGAAAACAGCTGCTGCAGTACAAAATGTTCTTCTCAGTCCCTGGCTGTAATTGGGGGAGGGACAAAGCCCAATTGTTACTATACCCCATCCTGCTAGAAGGCCTATTTCCTACCCTAATGGTTTCTGCCTAACAAATGGTGTTTCTTTTTTACAGCATTATGATCCTGGACTTGTTGTGGTGATGGTAAACTTAGCAGTGGTAATTTTTTATTTTCAGACTGAATTACTCCTTTTGTCATCAGTGCACAAATATGTTAGGCTTACTTTCTCTGTTGTAGCCTTCATCCTTCTGCTTGGTCTTTTTCATTTTCCTTTCCTTTCCTTATGCAACTTGTCTGATCCTTGTTCATTAAAGGGTAATGTTAAGAAGGGATGTATCTGTTTGTGTTAGAACTGCCAAAAAAAAATCAGTTAAAACATTAAACTCTAATACTGTCAAAACTTGATTTTCCCACAATGTAATGGGCACTAGCACTTGCTACTGCAATTTGTAAATAAAAGAAACGTTGACTGCCTTAGAAGGCAAAAGTACTAATGCATAGTTTATAAACAGGGGTTTACAGAAGTAATGAATTTGTACCAAAACTTCCTTAATTCTTGCAAAAACAAATTCTGGCAGAACAAAAAGGCTATCAAAACAAAAAAAAAAGGAAATTATTTGACATTTCTTTTCAATTCTTTTATTGGGCCATTTGTTTTTATGAGTAAATCCCTGACTGAGACGTTATGAAAGTGATATTGCACTTAGGAAGTCATTTTTATAACCTGTCTTTAATTTGGTCCTTTTGCTAAAGATTGCAGTCACTGCTTATTTATTATACCATTGGGCATAAGGTAGTAAGGCATTTTTTTTTAACTCACAGTCTTTAATAGAATCTAGAAGACATATTTTGGGCTTGTTTATTTAGCTGGCATGAAATGATGCTTTAAACTTTTTCTCCCCACTATGATAATTGTTTCTAATTGTATCCCTATTATTTAAAAGCAATAATGGGAGTACTTCTAAATTTTTTTATCACCTTTTGTGACAACCAAATCTCACAGATACAGAGCAACACAATACAAATAGTTGCTTGTGATTTTGAAAATGGTTTTATTTTCCTCCTTTTGGGTCAACACGGGTTATATGTGGCATTCCCCTCCTTTCCTTTTAAAATTAATGCTTCAGATTTAGCCAGGCAAAACTCAATTTTTAGCCCAAAGGTATAATATATATGTGCGTATAACAAACAAAAAACAGTTGTTTACACCAGCCAGAGTGAAATGATGAGGGAAGTAAACATTGTGTTTTTTCACTAAAGGTGTACAACGGATAAGGTAAGTCCTCTTTTCAGTGGGCTTACATCACAATAATAAACAGCGCAAGTTGTGATGTAAAACAGCTGTGGTAGTAAAGTGCTTGTCTGCCCCATTTTGCTTTGTTTGGCTGGTTATGAGTGGATTAAATATACATTTTTTTAAAAAAATCTCCAGCATAGATTGATTAGTTTAAAGTCAATTTTCTTCGCAACTAGTCCTTTTCACAGCTTACCGATTGCCATTGCCAGTATTAAATCCATTCTGGGAAATGGGACCTCCCAGCACTAGTTTAATAAGTAAAACTGGTTTTTGTCCCAAAAAGCAACTAACTGTTGGCTTTTCATTTAAATTTTCCACAGTCTCATTTAATTGTAAATCATCTTTTGAAAACAAAAAATATTAAATATGCGGAGTTGTAATTCTACTTTTTTGTACCATGTTTGAAAATATACTTTATTGATTGCTTGAAGTATATAATTTGAAATATTTATCACCTCTTTAAAGTACGTGTGTGAGGGAATGTTAAAAGAGAAGAAAGTAATTAATGATTTTGAGGTGTTTCTTTTTTAAAAAAAGTTTTACATTTTAAGCCTTCTGGTGCCATTGCTTAGAATGCTTTACAGTTTTTCATTTCTCACCAGTTTCATTTTGCTATAGTAATAAAGGATTATTGCCATCCGGCAGGAGGTCAGCCATGGGAATTAGTTGGGTTTAAACAGAGAGATAGGTTTGGGTGTAAGCTGTGAGAATGGCTTGTGTTTGGTTCACTGTAGCTTTCTGGTCTCTGCACTCCAAGGCAAGATTTCTAACCACCCAAACCCAATGTGTAAAGTAAGCTGTTGACTTGGCCAAGTCTTACCTTGATTATGTGTTCCTGTTACAGGGAGAACAGATCCCATTCCAATCGTCGTCAAGTATGATGTCATGGGCATGGGTCGCATGGAAATGGAGGTAAGCTAATCTCTCTTGTTTTATGAATTTTAAAATTATATTAATTCCAAATGCAGGCACCAATGCAAGGATACACTCACTAGATGTAATATGATTTTAGTATTTTCTTTCAACAATTTAGAAGAAATAGTCTTCATTCTTTGAGCCAAGTAGATGGTAAATTATGCCCTTATTTTTTTTTTTATTTTTTTTTCCTTTTTTTTCCCTATATTTTATTAATTTTCATAAACATTTACAGAGATTTTGGGTTTCCATTCATTCATTGTTGCACTATTCTCTCTACCCTCCTCCCAGTTTGTTCTTGTCCAAATGCCACAGTGCTTGTGAAAGCCAGTTCTGATTAATCTTCTTTGTCAGTGTGTCCTTTGCCATTCCCTATCACTCCTCCCTGAGAGAGACTTCACCCTGAGTCATAAGGAAAAGGGGATGGCATATTCTCTTAGCTACTTCCTGCTGAAAAGGGACGCTGTAGGGTTCAGGGTGAAGATCTTCTCTCACTACTCTAAACGGCCCCTTTGGCAGTAGGAAACACATAGACTATTATGGAGATTGATTTTGGAATTTAGATGCACTCTTACTGATTGTGCTTGGCCGTACACGTTCATATCCTTGAAGATGTATCATGGGGGTGTTGCAACCTAGAAGACACAAATTTGACTAACAAGTTATAAGTACATGAGTCCAAAAATTATGGAAAAGTAAAAGAAAAGATTCTTTCATTGTTTTACAAACCCTCCCCCAGGTCCCCTCCACCATGTAGCCCTCGCTCTAGACTCCTGTGATGACAGAAATACCTAGTTATATATCTCTTTTAAACAGTTTTCTCCCTCCTCTGTTTCAGTGCAGTATACATTCTTGAACCCATCTTACTCAGTCTCTCCCCAACCCCAAGGACAGTCCCATTCTAACAGTGGCATCATGTAATATTTGTCCTTTTGTGACTTATGCCCTTATTTTTATTGAAGATTAAAGAAGTTGAGGGATTTACCAAAGGTTATATGACAAGGCATGGTTAACCTTCTATTCAGACCCTGCTGCTCATTTTAGTAGACAGTGTTGTTACATTCTGAAATTATTTGCTATTGTAAAATTTTGCCCATCCAGACCTCAGTATAGTAGTCACCCATGATACTTGCTTTGGTATTGAACATTGAAGTCTATTTATCATCATATGTGCTAGTGGGAACCACCAGCATGGAAAAATTAATAATGACAGTAAAATAAGAGGTACCTGAACAAAATACAAAGCTTTTGGTTTTCAGACAGTACTATAGTTGTGCAGATAACTTTTTCATAGCTAATTCTGTGGGTCCTTTAGGAATTAAACTAACATACATATCTTTATTAAGCTTGATTATGCTGAAGATGCTACCGAACGGCGCCGTGTCCTAGAGGTAGAAAAAGAAGATACAGAAGAACTGAGACAAAAGTACAAGGTATTTAAATGAAGCCATTCTTGGAAGGGAGGGTGCACGGTCTGAAAGAGATGATACTTTTTAGTGATTAATCTCTTTTGACTACATTTGTTTTAATATTTGGTAGACATTATTAGATTTCAGATGTCTGCTCTCTAAGGTATGTGGTGACTATCTAAATTTTAGCTTCATGCAACTTTTTTCCTTGCCTACCAAGTTTGAAGAGTATACTAAAGATGTTGTTAATTACCATTGAGTGGAACCAACCCATAGCTGACTCTACAGCGGGTTTTCAAAGACAATAAATCACTTGGGGATTGTTTTCAACCACATGCCTTTGGGTTGGCAACACAACTCCCTACAACCAAGCTACCAGTGCTCCCTTTACTAAATATGGTGTCTGTAATTAATCCAATCTTACAAAAGCACAGTTATTTTGTTGCTTAGACAGCCATTATGTTATTTCCAACTATGGTAACATTATTAGCCCTGCATTCATTAGATTTTATAGTTTATCATGAGTGATTCTGAAACAGAAACTACTATCCCATGTTCTAGTGTCAAATATTGTTATTATTGAATTAAAGCATTTACAAAATCGTTTCGTTTTTGTTTTTAATTATTTCTTTATTGTGATTTTAACGAGTTTACAGAAAAGTTAGATTTTCATTCCTTCTTTGTTGCCCATTTTCCTCCCTGCCTCCTCTTTTCTCTTCCCCAGTTCACGTTAAAAAAAAGAAATAAATTATATATTCATTGTTGTCGTTTCCTCTCTCTCCCTTCCACTCCCCTCCACCAGTCCACTTTGCAATGCACCTCTTATTCTGGTTTGTTGTCTTACATATATTTTAAACAGTACTTTCCCTCAACTGTACCAATGCAGTGTTCATTATCTATTCACTTAACCAGTCTTTTCCTGTTTTCCTCCCAACACCTGCATCAGTCCTGTTTTATAATAGCAGTGTTATGTAGTATTTGTCCTTTTTTTACTGAGATATTTCCCTCAGCATAATGTCCTTCAGGGTCACCCATGTTGTATAATATTTTGCAAGTTCACTGTGTTTTAATGCTGTGTAGTATTCCATTGTGTTAATGTACCATAGTTTTTCTATGCATTCATTTGTTAATGGGGACTCAGGTTGCTTCTATCTCATTGCTCTTCTGAATAATGCAGCAGTATACATGGTATGCATATATATATATATGTCTGAGTGGCAGCTCTGGTTTCTTTAGGATATATTCAGTATTGGCATTGCTGGGTCAAATAGTATTTCTATTTCCAATTTTTTCAGAAAGCTCCAGTCTGCCTTCCATAGTGGTTGTGCCATTTTACATTCCCATCAGTGAATAAGAGTTCCAGTCTCTCCACAACCTTGCCAACATTTGTTGTTTGCTGCTCTTTCTTCATGTGTTTGTTTGCCATCTGAAGTCTTCTTTGGTGAAGTGTCTGTTCATATCCTGGGCCCATTTTGCGATTGGGTTGTTTACCTTTTTTAAAAAAAAAATTGAGGTGCTGGAGTATTTTATAAATTTTAGATATGAGTTCTTTATCAGATGTCATCGTCCAATTTTTTCCCCCTAGTCTGTGGGTTTCCAATTTACCCTGTTACAGAAGTTGTTTGATGTGCATAGGAATTGGGTTCTTAGAAGGTTCCTTTCATCTGTTTTATTCTTTCCTTGTGGTAAGTTTTTTATTATGCTTTTAGAAGTCTGTTCATACTGTAGATTAGGACTTCTAGAATAGTTTCCAGCTTTTCTGGGATGAATTTTATAGTCTGCTATTACAACTAGGTCCCTGATCGCCTTGAGTTGGTTTTTTGCATGGTTTAAGTTGTGGGTCTTGCTTTAGTTTTCTGCAGATGGTTTTGCCAACATCATTTGTTAAAGAGACTATACTTTCCCCACTTAACTGATTTCATCTCCTTGCCTTTTAAAAAAATTGTTCATGTACATTGTATTTTATGTAATCACTCACATAGATTTATGTTTTATGTAATAACTATTGATCTATCCCTTTTACTACCCTGTCTCTTCAAGTCTCCATTGCCCCCATCCACCCACTAAGCCCTGCTAGCCTCCTCCCTCCCTCCCTCCCTCCTTCCCACCCTTCCCATTCCCATTCCCTTTTTGAATCATTACAAGTGTCTTGCTGAGTTATCCTTATTTTCATAGTAGCAGTATTTGTCCTTTTTTCAATTGAGTGATTTCACTAATCATGATGCTCTGTAGACTCTCTTATTTGTCCTGTAGACTCTCTTACTTGTTGTGTAGCATTTTTTTATTATTATTATTTTTTTGTGTGTGTACCGTCAAATCAGATCTGACTGGTACAGAAGGAGATTGTCCCTCCTTCTCCAGCAGAGGATCTGGTGGATTTGAACTGTGCACCTCTGGGATTGCAGTGCAGCATCTTGCCACTAGGCCACCAGGGCTCACCTGTTGTGTAGTATTTTATCAATACTTCATTTTTCTTTGTGCTGCATAATATTCCATTATAGAATTGGATTGTTGCCATCTTCTTGCTGTCACTGAGATGAACCTAGGTGTACATATCTGTTTGTGTCTCAGCTCTAATTTCCTTGGGTATATTCCTAGTGCTAGAACTCCAGGGTCATATGAGATGACCTTGTCTTTTTTATGACCTTGAGTTTCGTTGTTCATTTTTCTCCCAGGTCTTTTCAGAGATCCCATTCAGATCAGTTAGTGCTAATCAGGCAACATCTAGTTCTTTTGGTACCATGGTTGTAGAGACTGGAGTTTACATGGTCCCTTAGTCTTTTGGTCTAATAATTTTCTATTTTCTTCACTCTTCTTGGCTGTGTATGGGAAGAGATCAGTAGTTGCATCTTATATAACTGCTCAAAAGTATTTAAGATCCTAGTTGCTACTCATCCTCCTGCAAAGTAGAATACAGAATATTCCCTTTGTAGATTATACCTGTTGACCACAATGTCCTCCAAGACTTTGGTTCTGATTGTCTTCTTAGCCAGTTTAGAATGTAATTTAGGAGCAAAACATAGCAGAATATTTGGATTATCGTACTAGCAAGAGAAAAAGTACAATTAAACTCTTTGGAACATTTGTTTACTTGAAAACAACTGCTATTGCAACCATATAAATTATTCCCTATCTAATTGCAATTTGTGTTCTTCCTAGCTTATATTAACTTTTTAAAATTTATCACTTCTTTCTTTAAGTAAAATTACCTTCTTAATAGCATTTATTTTTCAATTTCTGAGTTTATTTTTGTTTTCTTCATATTTTGTGCTTCTTACAGGATTATGTTGACAAAGAGAAGGCAATTGCAAAAGCGTTAGAAGACCTCAGAGCCAACTTCTACTGTGAACTCTGTGATAAGCAGTATCAGAAACATCAGGAATTTGACAACCATATCAACTCCTATGATCATGCTCACAAGCAGGTGAGGAGTAGTTCTTGCTAACAGAAAACCTAATACTTTACCTGGTGTTAGAGCTACAGAACTTTTTTAATGTAGCAAAAACCTCTTTGGTGAATGGTTTCTTTTGTCTCCTGGTCTTTATCTGAGGTCATTTAGTAGATTGTATTTTTTGTGGTGGCAATTCTGACAAATTTTTGTCTCTCCCCTCTTTTTTCCCCTCAGCAATTTAAAGTAGGATGAAGAATTGTGAGTTCCATGAATATTATGTAAAGCTTTTAGTTCTGAATGATTTCTAATTTTTTTAATTTGATAATGGAACATAACATTATTGGCAGCTTTGTTTTGCTTCCTCTCGTTTCCTTAATGTACTACATTTTAAACAATTATTTCCGACAATTGTGTTTTAATTTTCTTTATGTTTGTTGGCAATAATTTCCTTTCAGTAAGTCATTTAGTTATTCCATATGCCTAGGAAGCTAGATATTGAGAAGAAAAGTAAAGTGAAAATTACTTTAACACAAAATGCTACATGTTGAAGAGCTTGCTGAAAATAATTACACTTTATTTGCATTTTTTTTCCCCGCAATTGGTTTTGGAAAGAAACCTATACCTTACCTAGTTTTTGATATAAAGGTAATGAATTTTAAAAAGAAGAAATTACTCTTTAGATCTATTGGAGATTATTAAAGAATTTTGAGCCATTTGGTCCTGAGTGACTAAAAGAAGTCGGTGGGTCTTTGTGGATTCAATACTTGCATTTGCTAAAGTTGTAAGATTTATGAGCGTCGCTGAAATAATCTCTCTTAAGCTGGACCTGTTGAACCAAGATTTTTTTTTGGGACTGCTTCGTCTCCCACCAACTTTATGATTTCAATGCACAGGTAAAAGGTAAGCTTTGACTAAGTTTGACTGTTAACTGCACTAGGATAATTTATAAGCTGGTATGATACTGGTATGGTAGTATACTTTTTTCAGAATTCTCTTTCCCATTTAAACAATTTAAGATTCTTCCTTTAATAGATAATTGTCAGAATTAATTTGTAGTCAATATAGCTTTTCAACTTTTTACACACCTTTTTTGTTTTACTATACTGGACATTGTTTTAATATATTGTCAGCACTGCATGTCAGTATATTTGTATATATTTGAGAGTGTATCTGTGAACAAAATACCAGTTTGTTACCTTACTCCAAGAAATCATCTGTCAAGAATGAAGAAGACGGAGACAGTGTGGGAGATGACTGTCTCCCAGATCTGTGTAATAGAGTGGATTTATGGATATTACAAAAAAAAAAGAATGAAGAATACAAGGGCAGATACTATTTAACCACTAATTTTCCCAGCTGTGTGATAAATCTTCAGGTTATCCTTTTTTAATGACATTAACAAGAATTTAGCATAATTAAGAATGATTAATTAGCATAAATTAATAATTTAGCAGGTATCTATTCAGCTTTGTAGACTCTTGAGAATTTCTTCAATTGAAAGACTAGAGATAACTTTAGGATACTGGAAAATTTTTCATTTTTAGTTAATTAGAAATCCTTTGAGTAAAGTTTCAAGTAGAAGAAATAAGAAAGGTTAGCTCCCAGTTTTTGACTAATGTACTGACTCACTTTTAAAGGAAAAAAAAATCTAACAAAATTATTCAGAAATTAGATTTGAACAAAACTAATAAACTTTCACATTGAACACATTAATTCACTGATGTGTTGGAGGTATTTTACTGTCAGTACTGAGTCTAGTAGAAAATGTTAGAGCTCTGGTTTATTTTTTGTTCTCCTTAGGATCATGTAATGACTCACTTCTCTTCTCTCACTGCTTTTCTCTTTCCAGTGGTTCTTAACGTGGGAGAGGGTTTGTCTCCCCCTCACAGGGGATTGGCATTAGTCTGGAGTCTTTTAGGTTTTCATAACTTGGAGCAGGGTTCTGTTAGCATCTAGCACATAGAGACAGGAATGCCACTAATATGTGCTAAAGTGCACAAGAAAGCCTCTCATAACAAAGAATTGTCCAGCCCAAAATGTCCCATTAGTATTGCTGAAGTGTAGAAACAATACAGATTATTCATTTATACAAACACTATCCACTAATACATACACACATGCATATCTGTGATGAGTGGTCTGGGAAAAATCTTTGCCTAGTATAATTAATAAATACATGAGTTTATTTTTTCACCTTTATCAAAAACGCCTTCTGAGTAGTAGGGAAAAAAGATATCATATGATTTTGATTGTCTTGGCTTTTTTGATTTTGGTTTTGATCGGGTATTCTTTAGTTCATTTGATTTAAACACATCTTTTCCACCTTTCTCTAAACTACTTTCTTAATGCAAATGATAGCCTCTGAAACAGAATATTATAAGCATATGAATAAACAATAGAGAAAGCACAGTCCTAGATTTTCCATAGTTTAATTCTTCCCTTCACGTAAATGTATAAGGAACCAATTAACCCCAAACAGGAGGTAGGACTTAATAAACTATTCCTCTTTGATGGACATGAGCTTATCATACAGATGGACCTACCATTTCCCAAATTCATGCTTTTAAATCATAAAGACACCCTGTCTTGTCTTCCAGGAAGGCACACAGGATTATTATGAATCTGAAATAATAGGTAAGTACATTCAACCCTATTCTAGTAATCCCTAGTTTGCATCTTCCATCAAATTATTATGGTAGTGATTAATTACTACTGGAGACAGAATCCTGAAAACACCCTCACATTTAACACAAATAATCCCTAAAAAAGCAGCTATGTATTCCCCTTCATTCATGAGTTTTCCTGCCCCTTCTCCTTGGTCAGGATGTTATATGCCTCACTACTTTCAGTAGTTTTCCTTAATTTTTTTTAAAAGATATATAGAAAGTCAATAATATAAAAATATAAGACCAGCTTGCATCTTCAGAAATTATAAAAGCTAATGATATATTCTGTCTCTTATCAGCCATTTAACCCAAATTTTAAAGTCAGCAATTTTAAATCTCTCCAAGGTTAGATGTTTTTGTTCCTTAAGATACTAATATTCACTTAACATTAGCAACCACCCTTAGTTTTAAGTTAAAGTTGAACTTTAAATTTAAAAAGTTGTCAAGGAAATTGTTGTTAGGTGCCATCGAGTCAAATATAACTCTTAGCTACCCTATGAACAGCAGACCTGAACCTTGTCTTATCCTGTGCTATCCTCATAATTTCTGACATACTTGAGCCCATTGCTGCGGTCACTGTGTCAGTCTGTCTGATTTAAGTCTTCCTCTCTTCTGCTGACCCTTTACCTTTCCAAGCATGAAGTCTGTCTTCACAGAATAGCCCCAGAGTGTGTGAGATGAAACCACACTGTTATCATTTGCCACTGAGGAATACTGTGCCTGCCCTTTTTCCAAGACATGTTTATTCTTTTGGCACCCCATGAAATAATAATTCAGTTCTGCAACACCACAATCGATGCTCAGAGGCATCGATTCTTCTGTCATCCTTTTCATCGTGCCACCAAGGATTGCTCCCCACCAGAGATCACCTATCTCAAAGATGTATGTTGCTTGACCTTCGTGGTATTCCTTTTATCTCACTTAACCACATTTGGTTTCCAGGTTTTCGAATCAGGACATTTTGTAGAATTCAGATTTTGATTTGTAAATGGGAATTCTAAAACAAAAACACCCTTGCACTCTTAAATAACAAAGTAGTTTAAACATGACAGCTGGAACCCTATTATCTTTGACTTCTAGTCCAAAATTGCATCCCTAGACCATTCTGTACTGCTCCTCTTTAATTGACCAGTCTTCAAAGTAAACTGAAAATAAGAGAGGTTAAAGGTATACTTTTAAGTTAGCTTCAATTGTGGACTGAAAAAATAAGTTGTACATTAGCTAAGAATTATTAAGCCCTTTTATAGAAATTTATGTTCTGGAAAATTATCAGTTTCACAAAATTAAATTGTTCAGCTTAAAAAAAAATTGAACACGCTGCCTTTGAGCCCCCGGCGCGCCTCCCCGTGGTGCCGGGGGTTACGCTGCTGCGCAAGAGCATGAGTTTGCGCATAACTGGGGCCCCAGCCCGCTGCAGGCAGCCCTTTTAACCGCGAGCGACACGCCGGCAGACCAGGCCTTTGCCGCCGGCAGACCAGGCCTTTGCCGGGGTTCGCCTCTTGGGTCTCAATTCTTAGGATGATCCCTTTGGGAACGGATAGTAGGCTCCTCGATTATTTAATTGTGTACCTGTGTGTGCTGTCATCTAATAAACTTTAGGTGTTATTTAAAAAAAAAAAAATTGAAATAACTGCCAACCTTGGGCTGACATTTCAGTATAAAAGAATCATCTGTGGTAGCCAGTCCAGCCATCAAAATCTGGCAGTGTACTGCAGCCTCAAGAAATGTCTTGGTTGGAGAAAAAGAAACTTTCACCTACAGTATCTTCAACATGAGAACTTCTCTACTTTTTATGTGTTCAGAAAATCTGGAGTCTCATTTAATACTGAGGTTTTTAAGTCTTTTTTCAGTTGTGAATAAAAGTAGTCATTTTTTAATCTTTAAATAGAGAAATTAAACCAATATTGTTTTTCACAACCACCATGACTTCACTATCTTAAGTTGTATACTATGTTGTCGTTATGTGCCATTGAGTCTCTTGTGACTCATAGTGACCCTATGTACAACAGCCCTAAAGCCTGCTCTATCCTGTGTCAATCGCACTGTCTCCAATACACCCATCCTGATTACCCCAGTC